GATCCTCAAAATACACGCCGAATCTATAAGGAGATCCGTGCAGCTTAGCCCTCCTTCAGAGCTGTACGTAAAAAAATATTTTTGATGTTAAATCACGTGACGATTCCTTCTATTATTAATGATATATTTTCGATAAAGAACCAAATTTGTTAGAGTGCTATTTCATACATTCCTGGAATTCATAGGAAAACAATACGTAGAGTTGGCCTTGGATACGTAAGATTATATATTTAATGTACTTATAATTCGTGTTCATCTTAAAATTCACAGTTAACCGTTAACATTTTTAAAGTTGTTTAGATCAAATTGCGACGATAGATCCAAAATCCGAGCCTGACTTCAAACCTTTTTCTGTGATCAAGAATTCACATAGCATTATTCATCTATCTCAAAATCATTTCCAGGCAGCAATCGTAAGGGAAATCTCAAGTTTTACGGAATCTCTGCTTCCATGATATTTATCAAACTTTTGAATATCCTTTACATAGCTTCCCTTGGCTTCGTCATCCTTGCCAATACATCGTGATCTTACGTTCGATAAAAATAGATTCATGATGGGCGTTGAAAATAAGATGAATCTAGCTGTTCAGAGAACGATCGAAGGTAGGTGATTTTGGATTTTGTAATTTTTCTATACATATGAAAATACTCATTTAATTCTGCTATCATAATGTATTAGCCATCATCGCTAGACTGAACCATTTGTTATCACGCCAAAAAAAAGTTGACTTTCGACCCAAAGATGAAGATGACAACATTGCGAATCTAGCAACTGCGGTAAAATATTATAAATCTTCTTTATAAAGTTCATGTTATAGATCTGCTTTTTATATAAAGTGCAATCCATTGTAGCCTTGCAATGCTTGCGTCGAGTGTTTGAAGAAAGTTCAAACAAATGCATCTCAATTACTTGATGGGAAGAACTTGGAACATTTCTTAACTGAAATAGGAATCGCATTTTACAGGTATTCTGTCGGTCATGCCATCTTGATTTTAAGTTTTAGTTACTTATAACTGACTTAAGTTATTACATTCGACAGCATGTTACTCGAACATTTTAAGAAGTTTAATGTGAGCGCTGCTGGTGGCTTGGTTCTTAGAAAGTGAGTTCACTTTTTCATTCAATTTTTATTTATTTAAAAATGACTAGTCGGTTTCAATATTTTTCTCCTTTTTTTAAGGGACATCGCAAAATACCAAGAAAATATTGCTTCGTTCAAAATTCCTCAATTGGATGAGCGTTTTGAAATGCTGAGACAACTTGGAAATCTCTTTGTCGTGAAACCAGAAATCCTTAAATCTGTACTTAATGAAGGCTATCTTGCCAAGTTGGATATTAAATACATTCTTCCGTATTTGCAAGTTCGTACAGATTTTAAATCAGCCGGGATTGACACGCTCCTCGGTGCGACAGCAGAAACTGGAACTGGTGAAAGAAACTTCAACGAGAAAGCTAAAGCAAGACTTGCGGCGATGGGGCTTAGTATTGGACCTGCTAGTGGAAGGAAATGGATGACATTAACTGAATAGGATATGAACCGTTGGTTCCATTTGTATTGTTGATTATGCTTTGAGTTTAGTGTAAATTTGGATGTTTCGTAATTTATAGATTATTTACTAATGATAGATTATTAATATATTTGATTTCCTATTTGTTGTAATACACAATAATATGATCAAGTTGTGTATGCATCATATGGTAGAAGCTTGGTTAAATTAAAAAAGATAATAATAAATATATCGATATAGTACACTACCAAAAAATAATTGAATTGAGTTAATGTAACAGAACTAGCAGCTTCAATTCATAATCTTAGATATTCAAACACGTAATAATACACATATCCACTTTCTAAGGAAGCAATGTTACATCGACACTCTTTAAGGCATTGACAGCCCATTCAGGGTATCGGTCCGGACCACCAAATAGATCCTTGAATGATTTTTGTATAAATTGTGGAAACCTATTTTCAGCAATAGCATTTCTGATATTACGCATTAATCTTAATTGATATGAAACATTATGAATAGTGATAAGATGACATCCAACAGTTTCTCGCGTAGATTGCAGATGAACATATGCTCTGGTGAAAGATTTACAAGTTAAACAGTCACAATCTTCCTCGATAGGTCTAAAATCTTGAGAAAATTTACTGGATTTCAAATTCAGCGTTCCAGTTGGTGTCAGCGCATTTCCAAAACGCTAAATAGGTAATTCTGTCTAGAATCAGCATAAAGTCACGAAAAAACACGAACATAGTCACAAAATACTTATGAGGATACCAACCGCTGTGCGCGTTGGAAAAACGCAGTCAAACATATCAACTCCCAGCGCCGAACATACAATCAAATCTTCGGTATATCCAACCCCCATACAATATATCGGTTTATGATCAGGCAACAAGTCAGTACATAAAGTTACACTAAAGACAGAAACAAGATGATTACCATTATTGTAACCACTATATAGAAGCATAATAAGAGTAAAAGACCTACATCCTCCAGAAAATGTCCTTTTCTTCACCACCACTTAGACCACCGATAGCATATCCAGGAGTGTCGCGCTTCACCATCTCTTATATTTAAAGAATCCTTTTAGTTCGATATTCAGTAAAAAGTCACAAAACATAAATATGCAATACCTTCCACACACTTTCTCCTTAGGTCAGGGTCCAACCCGCCTTGTATAATAGCAAATAGATTTTGACTATCC